CTGTCAGTGGAACAAACTACTACTGTTAGTGGAACAAACAACAACTACTGTTAGTGGAACAAACAACAACTACTGTTAGTGGAACAAACAATAACTACTGTTAGTGGAACAAACAACAACTACTGTCAATAGGCACATTTTGACGATAATGATTAACGTTAGCTTACGTTGCGGCGATTGCAGATCTTCTGACGAATGTTTTTTCATCTACGTCGGTGAATTAAGGATTAATTTCCACCAAACCAGAGTTGGTGATTGTTAGAAACACTAACAGAGTCGGTTTTAATGAGTTTTACTCTGTTTCGCTCCACTTTGAAGCATATTTTACGATTATCTGCTAAAATTACTGCTTTCATCGATGGAGTCTGGTGTGATGCGACGCCTGTTGTTGTGATCTGAAATTGTGGTGCTCTAGTGTGACATCTAGAGTCAAGTCAATGTCATATATTATATATAACCTTTAAATAAATAATCTAAATAGTTCCTCCACTACTCCATTTTGAGTTTTACTGCTATCACATCATCAGTCTGTCAGACTCAACTTTTTAATTGATTCTTGAACTCAGACTGTGAAACTGGTTCCAATCTGTCTGCCTCTGAGATCAGACTGCCTGATATCAGCCTGAACACATCCTGACACGTTCAGGGACTCAAATGAGCATGGGACTCTTGACCAATGGGAGCAGAGGTGGTGACAGACGCAGCGCTCTGATTGGTCGAGGTCACAGAGTGGATGCTGAGGTGGTTTTCGGTGCCTTGCTGAAGAGAGCCTCGGCAAGATTCAGACCTCCATCTGCTGACAGGTTCATTCATCACCATGGAAACGGAGAGCGACAGTACCCAACCAGCTGACAGACGAAGATAACGCGCACACACACACACACACACACACACAAATGCACACACAAAAACGCACACACACACACACACACACACACACACTCTGTTCCATCTGATAACAGTTGAATCTGTTTTCAATTATTTTCAATTTATTTCAGTTTGAGCTGCAGGAGAAACCACAGCTGTTGTATTGTCTATTCTAAACTGTTATTCTTTACGTTCATTCGGTGTCTGTGTGTTTGTTGTCTCATCACAATTAAAATATTTTTTTGTTTAATAACAGTAAACATTACTTATAGAGCATTTATCACATGAGAGAAGAGCTGATCGTTCCCGGCCACTAGGGGGCGTCAAAACCTCACAGGAGGTAGTGAGGCCTTCTTGATTTTAAGAGTTGTAAGAAAACTGCTTTAAATTTAGATTATAATCTAAGATCTAAACTGTAAACATACTGTACAAAATAAAATTTGTTTTACAGCAAAAACTGGCAGCTGTGGTCGCCAAATTTTACTGTGATAAAATTTACAATAGAACTCTTCTACTAATACGGTCAATAGGATATTAGTACTGTTGATTTTACAGTTAAAGTTGGAGTTTTATTCCATATTTGAGTTTTACCATCAAAAGAAACAGTTTTACCATGAGAATACCATATGAATGCTGGTGAGATATGACTTTCTGTGCCATTTATAGTCTGTAATATAAAAAACTGCTTTATTCTGTATAATAAAGGCCTTTATTTATATATAAATAATATATAAATAAAGGCTTTGCCATGAGATATGATGGTGTCACTGTTTCAGAAACTGTATTTAACCTATTTAGAGTTTACATTCTTTTTCTGTCATAGTTTAACAGGTTTCCACCATAAAATCTATATTTACATCAACATTTTTACAGTGCAGACTATATTCACAGAGCTTCGATCTCTGATCAACAGCCTCGTCCTGCATCAGAAAACCACCAAAGAGCTAATGAAAAAAAAGAAGAATATTAAGTCTGTATGATTGTTAAAAATGATAAAAAAATACAGAATACAGATAGAAAATTCTATCAAGATGTCAGGAAAACTCATCTTTGATCAAATATTCACAGGAAATAATCTGATATAAAATTCATCCAAATCTCTGGTTTTACACCTTCCTGTAGTTATTGCTGTAAAAGGAAATAGTGCTAACCACTGACCCTTGACCCTTAGTGAGGAGGGAGGAGCCATGGGTTGCAGCACTGTGGGGATATGACCAATGGGAGGTTTCAATAATTCTTGACTCTGATAATAAAACATTTAGTGTCTGAATGATTCTGAAATTTGTCTACGTGTAAATAACAGGTGACCACAAACCTTACCGCTGTACCGTAAATACTCAAAGAATCTGGAGTTAGGGTACGCAATGTAACATTAGAGTTAAATCTGAAAGAGCAACTGGAGAAACTCCCCTCCGTCACTCACTCACCCGCTCGCTCAGCGACAGCTTTAGTCCTGGCCTTCAAATCACAATTAGTCTTCATCAACCTGGGAGCGACAGCAGCGGCCAATCCTGTGGCTCAGATGTCGGCAGTGGGCGGGGCTACAGTTTACATTAGTTTAATCAAGTCTAACTAATGTTACACACACACACACACACTCACACTCAGCAGTGTTCAATGAGTCAATATTTGCTCTCTCTCTCTGATCTCCATTAAAAGGTTAATTAGACTCAACCGTCTCTCTCTCTCTCTCTACCTCTCTTTCTCTCTCTTACTCTCTCTCTCTCTCTCTCTCTCTCTATCTATCTTTCTCTCCCTCTCTGTGTAAACAGCAGCAGGTTTCAGTGTTTGAACACACACACACACAGACACTGATCACTCCCAGTACTCCCAGTCCAGCAGGCTGTGGTCTGTCGTCAGCTCCTTTCTGGATATTCAGTTCAGTTTATTTAGATTTTATTGTATTTTAAAGGTGGTGTTACATCATGGAGTCATATATGGTCATAATAATATATTAGAATATTTTATCTCAGTATCCAACCATAGCAAACACAACAGAAACTGACGCTGTAATTCCTTGTCAATTTGTTTTAGACCATTTAAAGTGAATTAAAAGAGATAAACAGACTCTGCTGAAGTGTATAAAGGCACACTGTGACATTGCCTGCAGCCAACGGAAATGGACAGGAAGACAGGAGGGTCCCTGCTGAGGAGCTGGACCTCCTCTCACATAATGAGGGTCGCCCTCTAATGGAAGTCAGCTCCACAACAGACCACATTGTACAGTATATGTGTCGGTGAGTGCAGGAGCCATTTTTGTTCACTTGAACACATTCATTTAACTTTTGATACTTTTGAATCCACATCTGGCGGGTTTTGAAGCATGCATCAAAATATTTCTTTATTTTTGTTACAAAAACTCCAAACCGGAGTTGCTGATGGTTGGAAAGACAAACAACGTTGGTTTTGGTGAGTGTGTTTTATGATTATCTACCAGGTAAAATTACTGGTTTTGTGAATGATGTCCGGTGAGCTGTAGCGCCCATTGTTTTGGTCTGAGATGTTCCAGTGTGACATCTAGTAGCAGCGAACATCATATACAACCTTTAAATAGTAATTTAACATCTTTGCTGACCTCCAGTGGTTCAACTTCTCACCTGCTGCAGTGATGTACAGGTGAGATCCAGGAGGTCAGAGGTCAGCCTGCTGTTTATTTACTCTTTACCAATAAACCTCTGATATATATTTTATCAATATATATATATATATATATCAGCAGGAGACGCTGCAAGCCAAACCACTTTTTTGATACAGTTAGTTTAATAGTTTTACAATTGATATGATTATTTTCATGTGGACAGAAAAGATCTGCTGAACTGATCAACTGATTAATTCATGTATACGATCGATATATGTTAAATATATGCTATAATCTCTAATCTGATCAATACCTGGATGTTGCGATTCACACTCTGGACAGACGGGAGGCGGAGCCAAACATTTGACTGATTTCTCTTTTTAATTCATAATTACATTAATTATTCTGGAACATCGCAGCCAGGCAGCTGTCGATTGGTCCGTCCAGTCGCTCAGGTGAAGGCCGGTTATCTGGGATTGGTCAGTTGGTCCGGTGAAGGCGTGGCCTCAGCTGGGAAGTAAACAAAAGGCACAGGTCAGACACAATCAAGTTACCTGGGCGGGGCTTAAACAGATTCAGGTACCTGGGCGGGGCTTATACAGAGTCAGGTACCTGGGTTGGGCTTTAGCAGGAAGTGAAGCCCTTCCAGTAGAAGTTCTTGCAGCCGGCTTTGCGTTCACGGGGGGGCAGGTTGTTAGGGGCCTCGACGGACCGCTCCAGGTTCACCCTTCCTCCTGTTGCCATGGAAACAACCTCAGCTTCACGCTGTGCTTCGGCCTCTGGCAGAGACATCTGAGCCAGCAGGTCTTCCACTGCACGTTTACTCCAGTCCTGGAAAACAACAACAACGTTTTTTACTATCAGAAATACATATAATTTTATAAATCTCCATTTTTTTCCCAAGGATGGTGAAGTGTGGTGTATCGGCCAATGGAAAGTTTAGAAAAACAGTTCGGACAATGTCAGAAACGATGGTTGACGGACTGTCTGAACTGTGGCTGTTCCGGAGCTTTTGACTGTATCACATGATCTTGTTGATCATCAGATGACTGATTTACCTCAGAGAGTCTGTCAAAAGACACATTTTGGTTTTATGACTTATTTTAATCTAGTTCTAGACTAAACATGTTCAAAACCCACAGCTGCAGTGTTGGTGGAACATTAGTTTTCTCATTTTATAGGAACATATACCCTCCAGTCATGTATGTCCATGACCTGTAGTGTCTCCTAGTAGGACGTCCATATAAACATTTAGCACTAAATCAAGCTGAAACAACAAGCTGTCATTCTCACTAATCTGCTCCCTCAACCTCCACATGCAGATTTATACTTTACTGCAATACAATCAGGGTGAAATATTCTCCTTATTACCACACTATCTTCTTCTGACAGCTTTACCAATCAAACAAATGATTGACGTATAAAAAAACATGAAAAGAATCCATCCAAGTTTGTCATGTTTCGTGCGTAAATGAAAATACCCAGAAAATACTGAACAGTATATGGAATAGTTCAAATCATCTCCTCGATTAGCAGCTACAACAGTAGAATGTTAATTACGCACGAAAGCTTATTAATCTTGATATTAACCGTTTTTTTGTTGTTGTTTTTGTTTTGTCTCTGTACGTTTAGTTTTTTTTTTTATATGTCCTATTTGCCATGTCATATGAAGAGTTTTGGAAATAAAAATCAGCTATAAACAATGATCACAAATTACATATAAGGAGCCAGAAGAAAGACCTGATGCAAAAAGTCATATTTAAGACCAAATAAATACAACAATCATGTATTATTCAAATCATTCTCAGCTCAGTTTGGTGATGGAGTACCTCAGGGTGCGATTCTTGGTCCTCTCTATACAAGTCCATTAAAACGTTACTGATCTGTAATTTTAGAATTATTATTTAGGTTGTAGTGTTCCCATGGTGTTATAGTAGAGATAGAGGAGCACTTCACTGTCTAATAAACATCAGGCAGGTTAGAAAGAACAGTTCAGAATCCGTCATCTGAACCACTGATGTGGAAAAGAAAACCAACTGTTTACAGTTTAGCTAACTAGCAGCTACGAATCACGTTAAAGACAATTAAAACTTTCTGTCATTTTCTCTGCCCTGTCTCTCCTCCTTCTCCCCCTTGCTATTTTCACACTCTTCCAAAGCTATAATTAGCTAATAATCAGCTGTGCCAAACACAGTGTGCTGTATGAAGAATCGTGTCAGACCTATGGTGTAAACACAACTACCAAAATAAGAGCTCAGCTGTATAACAGGTTTATACTGAGGGGACCCAGAATCGAACCCTGAGAAGAAAAACGTACCCTTAATCTTACAAATGAAAAGTAAAATTCAAACGATATAAAAGACCCTTCAAATGAATGCTCCTGTAGCGTCACTTGTTCTGATAGCTGCCGTCCTTTAGCTTAGTGTGGCTAATGTTCGCTAATGTTAGCTAGTGTAAAGAAACTTTTGACTGATGTTTCTATATAACTGACATTAGCAGTATGAGCTTTCTTTTACTTGTGCTACCATTTTAGCATTTAGCATTATTCTCTAATTGTCACATGTAACCAACAAGGCTTCTTCAAAGTAATAAAGTAATAGTTTAATTTAAACCTCAGACATGCACTTTTATTTACAATTAAAACTTTAATTTAAAGCACCTCCAAATCAACACTAACTGAAAGTCAGAACTCAAACATTAACAGTAATTTCTGAGAATATTTTTGGGTTTTGTAGCACCGTGATAAAGACTCCAATAACTGGCTATAATGTCCTTTCTTCAGTAGAAATGGAGCATTCTGATTGGTTGTCGGCTGCCTCACCTGTGACAGGAGTCCAGCGCTGCGTGCTCGTTGCAGCAGTCGGTGGTGACGCAGCTCCAGGTCCAGGTCCTGGTTCTGATACTGCTCCTGGTCTCTGTCGAGCTGAGAGGAAACACCTGGACCGCACAGAACCAATGCCACGAGGGCCACAATGGCGGGATAACGAATGCACTGCATACCTGGAGAAGAAGAGCGTGCACAGTGAGGTACCTGAGGACGGAAATCAAACAGAGAAAACTGAGAAATAAAGTCCTTACTGTTTGCTGGTCTGGTTATCTTCTGCTGGTCCTCGTCCTGGTTCTGGTTCGGGGCTTGTCTCTGGTCCTGGTCCTCTGCGTGCTGCCCTTTTGAAGCCCGACACTCCTCCTCCTGCGACTCACATGACGCGGTGTGTTTGATTGACAGCTGGCGGGCTGCGCGGTGATGAAGGAACGTTGACATTTGAGTTAAACAAATGTCCATTAGTCCTTATTGACTTTAAATGAGTCTGAACAATAAAACAATAAAACTATCAGCAGCAGCCGCGTTCGGCAGCCGCCGGCACTCATCTACAACAAACACAACGGCAGAATGTCCGGCCGGAGAGGAGAGGAATTAACGGAGCATTCAGAGGATTAGCAGACTTCATTAGCACTTGCTGATATCTCCATTAAACAAAGAGGCAGCAGCAGAGAGTCGCCCACTCAACATTTAGAGAACAAACACGACTGCTTCACTTTAATGCTGCAGAAAAACACTTTATTAGTTTAAAATGTTCTGCTGAGGAGAGACAGAGTGGATGTGACACCAGGGATACCCCAGCACTCGTAGTAACACAAAAAAATACTAAAAGTTTTAATGAATCTTCAGTAAAACTCGTCCACACCAAACTCAATTCATTTTAATGCCAGTTTTGGGATCAGTGGTTGTAGAATTCTCAGTCGACAGCTTCCATACAGTTTAGTTCAAAGTGCTTCTTGAAAAACGATAAGACAAAGTGGAGTAAAAATTAAAAATACAATCCAATGATAAAAATGTGTTTCATTTGTTGAGTATGTTGAAAGGTTTCTGATGGGACAGTTGTGTATTTAAAAAAGATCAGGAAGAAGCCTCACAAGTTCCCAAAAACATGAAAATATAAAGAACATGTGCTAATAATAACAAACAAATGCCTCTTCA